ATCGATGCCTAGAGAAAGCAATAACTGGGGAAGGACCCCAAACATCAGAATTAATAAAATCAAACAAAGAGCATATGAGATATATAGCTAGTTCTAGTATGTTTAGAAAGCTCACAAACTTCACATTGAAACTTATGGTCCTTACATGTTTTATTTAACAAAGGAAAAAATAAACATAGATACTGAAAGTTTACATGCCCCAAACGTGCATGCCACAGACTAAAAGTGCGAAAAGAAACATCATAAGCACTAGAAGCAGATAGGACAAAAGCTTAAAGACTCGTTCCTGGTGGTTCCCCAAAGTAGTAAAGCCCATCACGCTCATAATCCCTGCTAAAAATCCTCTTCGAACAAAGGTCCTACAACAACAGACAGTAATCTGGTAAGAATATAACTGCACATTGGAGTTTTTTTGCAAGCTGGCTAACAGATAAAATGTTAAAGGCAAATTTAGGTACATGAAGGACAGATGAAAGAGTAATATCAGGAGACAGACAAATATCACCCTTACTGTGAATGTAAGATGTGGAGCCATCCGCAAGATACCATGTGATCATTGCCCAGAATTTAGAACCTAAGTAGGTTGTTTGGCCTTAACATAAAATGCTGTAGCAATAGTGGCAGTGGGAGCAGCTGAAGGAGCACTAAATCTAGAAGCAAGGGAGCCAAGCTGGTCCTGGATCCGCCCAATTTGAGACTAAAGTTGGCTCAGTCCAGGAAATACAGTAAATCCGCCAGTCTCTGCAACAGCAGCAGTACGAGAAGAACCAGTTCTTGATAAACAGTTCCTAGAAAATTTCTGCTTCAGTTTAGGATGAAGTTTGAAACAGCAAGCCTTAACATGTCCAACCCTTCCACAATGGTGACAAATAATTTGACCTCCAAATGTACGTGATCCAAAGTTGGCTGCAAAAGCCATACTATCCCCAGTAGGCTTAAACACTGGTAGAGGAACAAGTGAGGGCTAAATTAAACAGTACCTGCATTCTTCACCATCAACAGTAGCAAAGGCTTCCAACAGGGATGGCATTGGTGATGCATTCAAGATCTAAGACTTTAAGTGGTTCATATTCTGGGCGTAATCCCATAAAAAACTGATAGGTATGCAGACGATCAAGACGTTTGATAAGAAGAGAGGCTGCCTCGGGAGGAAATTCACTGAGAGGCTCAAATTGAGCCAGTTCCTCCCTACGAGATCTCAAATACCTTAAGTAATTAGCTACAGACTAATTCAGGCCTTCCTGCAAGGCTTTAGCAATATCTTAGTATAACTCAAAAATACAAGCATCATTCCTAGAATGAGCATATACATTTGATTCAAAGCAGTTCACAAGTCATGAACAAAGTCATAAAACATGAATATATTATAAATTCGTTCCGCCATAGAATTAAATATCCATCCTAAAATGGCACAATTGTCTATATCCAACTGAGCATATTTAGGATCTTTAATATCTGGCATCTTTTTAGTACCCAAAAACTACCCTAATTTACCTTTTCCACCAACATAAAGGCGGAGGGAACGAGCCCAGAATGCAAAATTACGGCCATTCAACAGCACACTAGTAAACAGTTGAGCCGATGTGTGTTACGCCAAAGAGAGTTTTTTTTTATTATTACTTGAATCAGCCATAATATTAAATAGAACAATTCAACAGATCACAAATAATTTCAAATAAAGGAGGAATAAACCTGATTTTGATCAAACCAAGAAGCCAGAGACACAGCGGTCCGATCCGAAAATGCTGCCGAATATCCCGACAGCCCAAAAAATTTGCAAACACGTCTTCTGACCCTTAATGCATGAAAAAGACTAAGGGAATACCCCTACAGGGTCAAACCTAGAGGAGATTGGCTCCTCTAGGACTGTTGCAACAGCGGCCTGAAGAAGAGAGATGGTCTACGAAGAAAAGAAAAAAAGAAAGAGGGAAGGAGTTGTGACGAGATAGAGAGAGAGGGGAGGCGTAGGTTTGAGGCTCTGATACCAAAAAGTAATTTGGTACAATTGGCGTACTCAATTTGAGAGCCTAATCATTATATACACGAGGAAAATTACAAATATGGAAAGAGAATAAAAATCAAATCAAAATAAAAATCAAATCCCTAAACAAAAGCCTAAACATTAGCCTATAATAAAGACCCAATAAATCTGCCACAATCATTAAGTCAACTTAGAGATATGATTTCCAACATAATGTGAAAAACTCTTGGGCCTAAACGAAAAACCAAATTGCCTGGAATAATATCATCCATGGCATCAATGCTTTATGGGCTATTGTAGAATTATCATTTTGATATTTCTTTTCTCAACTCTGGAGATAATATCCTCTATATTTAAAAAAAAAAAAAAAAAAATTGACTACTGTCTTTCAAAATACTATCTTATCCACTGGCCTCTTTCAGATATGGAAGTCTATTTTTGTGGTTGGCTGTAAAGGTATCTACAAAATCAACTACTTGGCCATTCTGTCACTTAAGGAACATATCTGATGTAATTACAACGTGCAGTTGAGTAAGTTCCAAAAAACCAATTTGTAGATTCAATATTTTCCTAAGACCCGACACCCCCACCCCCAACAAATATATATATATATATATATATATATATATATATGATGATATATTTCTTTCTGCTAGAAACACTATCCATGAAATTACTTTCAACCAAAAAGAAGGCGGCAATGGGTCAATTTATCACGGATTAGAAGAAAAGAATCACAACCATTTCTTGGAAATTGCTGGCTGGCCTATTTAACTTGTAGAAAGTTTTTTGCAAGAATAATTATACCTTCTAATTCTAAAGGAACGGTGTGTCTTGAAGAAATGGTGCGTAAATTGATAAATAGAAAGTTAATCCACCTTCTTAACATTTACAGAAGTGATAATATCTATTGGCAAATTTAGAGCAAATGCAAAAGGAAACAATAAAGAGGGATAGCAACCTCCTGGAGTCATCAACGTGCTACGAACCATGAACCGAGTACTGAGAACAGTGGCTGTTAAAAACGAGAAAAGAAAAGATATCACGGCAAAGAGAAGAGACAAGTCGGGTATTAATTTCTTGGAAGCCAATTGAATCCTAACATATAATCACTACAAGAAATTCTAAAATCTTGAGTGACTAGAACTCTTAAATTTCTTTTTATTTTTATTATTATTATTTTTAGGGTAAAGTACAGCAACACCCCCTGAGGTTTGCCAAAAGGACACACAGGTTAAACTTATCTGTTTTTTGGACAAAAACACCCCCTCAACTTTGATACAGCTACCAAAGACACCCCAATGATAATAAATTGACATTTGTACCCTTTGACTTTTATATTAACCAATTTGAATATTGAAATGACCTTTCTAACCTCATACCCATAATTTCTTTCCTTCTCTCCTCTCTGTTCTCTCCCTCAACTATTCTTGGCTTTCTCCTCTGTTTCGTGAAATTCTCATGAAGCAGCTAGCTCTATTCAAAGCTGAAAATCTTTTAAAGAATCAACTTCCTATCCCTTTGGTCTATCGCGTAATTAGCTTGCAATAAAAGAACCAAAAGTAGGATTACCCAATCCAATGGATCCAATACTGCCATCAACGTGATTCATTTCAGCGCTGACTTGGCCTATTCCTTTTCTTTTTTTTTTGTAGAGGCTTTAAACTTCCTGACACCATCACCAGTTCAGTTGGCTAAGGACTTGAAGGGAAAGCTCTTATTCTGAAGCCTCAAATGGTGGAATCAATGAACCATCTCAACCATCAATACCGTCAAGTCTTCTTCCCTTGGGTCTTTGTTGTCATCGGAAAACATATACCATCAATACCGTCAACCATCACACACATATATATATGTATATACAAATACATATATATATACACACAAGGCAACGATGAGCGGCGGCGGCGACGGTGGAGGCGACGGCGGAGTTCGTCATCACCACCCACGCGCCCGACACGCTCCTGCAAGTAGATCTAACTCGCGCCGAACACGCCCACGCACTTCTTCTTCAGCCTTTTTTCCGGTGCCATTAACCCCCCGCGAGCTTCACCGTTCTAGCTTGCGAGCTTCAGCGACCCACAACAAAGACCAGAACTTCATCTCCATTCAAGACCCAGAAGTTCAACGTTAAACCCAAACGGCGGCGAACAGCGAACAACTTAAAAGGCTTCATCAATCGGTCAAGATAGCTAACTTAAGTGCAGGTCAGTGAGCATGAAGAAGATACAGTGATCTTAAGTGTCTCCATCGGTGCAAACACAAGGCCAGAACTCCACTGATTCCGACGAACTCCGAGAAGCTAAACTCCATTGATTCTGGCCAAGCTTCATTCACACCATATACATCCGGCGAGGTTTAGCAACTGTGAACACCGATGAGTTTCCTTTAGGTAGAGACATACTGTTGAGTTACAATCCTATGTGCCTCCGTCCAGTGACAAATAGTTCCAGCACTATAGTCTGCAAACGGCGGTGAGAGCATCACCTCAGCGGTTCCAGCGAGCTTCCCGTTTCAGACTTGTGTGCTAAGGTTTAGTTCAATCTGCTATAGTCTGCGAGCTTCATCTCTGGTGTACTCTGTCCATGTAAACCATCTTCCGGCGAGCTTCTCGTTTCATTGGTTGTGAATTTTGGTGTGGTGGCAGCGCTAGGGTTTAGGATTGATGGGTGCTGAGGGTAATTTGGTCATTTAAATATTTTGATATTTTGTAATTAAAATTAATAAAATAGTGAAGGGTAAAATGGACTTTTTGGATGGTAAATTTCACAAGGGGGTGTGGTTTCCAAAAATAGGCTAACTTTCATCTGCATGTCCTTACCCCAAACCTCAGGGGGTGTCTCTGTACTTTACCCTTATTTTTATAAAATTAATGTTACTATAAGCATCTTCATTATCTTACTTATAATTAAGGATCATAGTAATAGAGTGACAAATATAAGAGCAAAAACTTAAGTCCAAAGAGCACGTGTCAAGGGATTCCAAAAGATTCTTTATACAGAATATTATCCTTATTTACCTGAACACGCTTGTTGCGAGCATACTGTTCCACCCCATCAAAGTTGCTATTATCACTAAACTGCATTAATACGATCGATCAGAATTTCAATATTGAATGTGAATTAAAAGCAGATATAAGTTTGTAGAGAGAGGGAAATTATTATTATTAGTTATGATAATATTTTATGTGCACATCATATGACATGTTATAAATAGAGTGTGAAAACACGTGTAATTATGGTGCAAGTAAATATATTTGTTCCTTTAATCTATGGTTAAATTTAAAAAATAAATAAATATATAAATAAAATGAATAAGCCACATTTGGTTTAGGTTTGAATCAAATGTACTGAATAAATTTAGGCTTATATTTATATGTGTGTGTGTGTGTGTGTGTGTGTGAAAATATAATGTTATGTGTTGGCAATTAATTCCATTCTAAAACATGTGCATACCTACATGTATGGGCGACATTGTTATATATATACATTATTATGGGTCAATGTCTTTTAGTTAATGGGTTATGTTTTGATCACCATAATTAATGTGTATGGAGAGAAACAAACTGACATGAGATTAAAGGTGTATTTTCTATAGTTACTAACCTTGACGTTTGTGCCAGGAAAAAAGAAAAAGAAAAAGAAAAAGAAAAAGAAAGGGACTCAGTGCTTGCGCCATGCAAGAAGAAAGAAAAAAAACAAAAAAAAAGGTATCGGACCTCAACGTTTGTGCCCAAGTAAAAAAAGAAAAACAAAAAAGGGATTTGATGTCGGCATTTGTGCCGAGGTACAAAAAAGAAGGGAGAGAACGAGAGTACAACAGAAACGAGAAAAGAAAAGGAAAAAAAAAAAAGAGGGGCAGAACCCTAATTTCTTCTCCCTCTAAATTTTCTCTTTTAGCCCCTCCTCTTACAAATCTAGGGCAAAATAGTGAGATTTTGCTTAAAGGTCCAAGAATAAGAAGTGTTCATCTGAACTTCCTCCACGGTGCTACGGGTTCCTTTGAACTTCGGCAATGTCAGTCTAGCAAGGACTATTCTAACTCTTTTAACCCATAATCTGTGATTTGTTTCCTTTTGTGCTCTTTGTGAATAATTATGCTTATGTTATAGTAGATTGTCATATATATGTTGTTACATGACGATAGCACACTGTATGCCTGATAATTGTGTAGAAAATTTTTGCAATAACAGGATGTATGTGATGAGAACATGTTCTTTACTATGGCAATGGGAATAAAAGTGGTAAAACAACATGTATAAATGTATATGCATTGTGATATTATTGTGTCCTGATTGGTATTTCTGTTGTATGGAAATTGGTTGGTTGATGGGGTTTTGCCGGAAAAAGAAAGGCAGGGCCAGGAGCCCTTGGGTGAAAGACCCTAAACTTAGCCAAGTAGTGCTAGACTAACCCATAAAACTGTCATATGCGTAACGTGGCTTGCACACAGGCAAGTTGCACATAATTATGGACAATGCCCGCAATTTTGTGAATGAACTGTGGTTTACACTTTGGAAATACTTGACTGAAATCTAGACAAATTTTGAAGTGGTTGGTGATGGAATTAATATAATGTTTTTGTAGTATGATTATGTGTTCTGTTCATGAAATATCCATGTTCTTATCTTTAATTGTTGGCATGTCCATGTATTTACCTGTTAGTGCCATTTCACAGTTGTTGGTTAATTTTTTTGAGTATCTCCTATTGGGCAGTAACTCACCCCACCATTTTGCAGATGAAGGAGACGGTACTAGGGGTAATTAGCTTTAGTTGGAGATGATTGCTTATGTTTTGCTTTGCTTGGGAGTTCTTGGCTATTTTATGTTTCATCATCGTTTTTCTCTATTGAGAGCTTCCTAGGGCATTTGGAGAAACTATGTTTATTTGATTATTTTGAGTATGAACATGTGTGGTGTCGTAACTTTTAATTCAGACATGTAATAATTAAAATTTAAATATTTTTGAGAGTTGTAGTATGTTTTAAATTATTATCTCAACTAAACATGTGTTAGAATAATTATTTGGATTTATATTTGATTATCTGCTGAATATTTAAAATCTGTGTGAAGTGAGTATAATTTGTGCATCGTTCTCGGTATAAGAACATACTCCCAGGTGTCTGTACATAATTCATATCTATGTAAGTTGGATGCATAATTGACATGACAGGAAGAAAGAAAAAAATCCTTAGGAAGCATCGACAAGCATGAATTGCATACATGTAATAGGTATATAGATATATATATATATATATATATATATATATATATTTATATATGTGCGCAGTTGTGGAGAACCCTTGGTGAGGCATAGATTTTTCTCGGCATCTATGCCTCACCTGTACATTCATTTTTTCTTCTTTCTTTTTTTTTTTTTTCTTTTTCCCCCACACACACATAACGGAGAGCTTTCATTTGGGCACCCAAGGCATCCTCGGCATCTATGCCCATGTAAATTCCTTTTTTATGAGGGGAGTCGTGATATAAGAAAGGCAACATTTAAAGGGCTGGTTCTAATGAAGGAAAATAAAATGAATAATAAAATCATAAAATAAAAGAAGCGGTTGAATTTTAAGGATATTTATGTTAAAATTTTAATTTGATTTCTTTTCTCTTATCACAAACCGGGTGTTGGAAACCGGGGCACGACAATGTGGTATTAGAGCTTTAGGTTCGAACAGCTTAGGACGATGGTTAAGGGTTCGAATCACATGTTGATTTGGAATTACATGTTTGATTTGCTATTACATTATGTTTCATGAAATGGGATAGCATACAAAAGACCATGAGGGTAAGACGACATTGTGTCCGAAGAGGGGGTGATTGTGACGTCCCACATCGCCCGGGGGGGAGGTTATTGGCACTTATATGTGTGGAGATCTACTAACTGTGTAGAGGCATTTTGGAAACCATGAGCATGGGGAGTGTGTAAAGCAGACAATATCTACACAAGGGTGGGTCATGACAGAGTTTTACCAATATTCTTACCTGTAGATCTTTCGTCAAGGGGGCTGTGTACATTCCACCTGAGGAAACTGTGATAACTCGAGCATCAGGTGCAGCTTTCTCCAGCAATGGCATCATCAATTCTGTCATGATAAATGTCCCTAATACATTTACAGCAAAATTCAACTCGAATCTGTTGTTACGTAACATAAACAAAAAAAGGAGGAAAAAACACTGCGTTAATTTCTCTGCACAGATAAAATGGAATAAAATGTATCAGATATGGTCCATAACACAATTGATAAGCGCATACCCTTCGGACGTAGTAATACGGTTATGCTCAAGCACGCCAGCGTTGTTAACCTAGAGGCAACAAAGTATTTCATCAATTACGGAGGAGTTACACTGGCAAACCCATTAAGTGGACGAAAAGATAGTCACATTAAATAATGCAGGATAAACTAAAAGTTTACCACTAGTGCAGCTTATTTAATAAGTTGACCTCTCCCGAGGACCTCTCTGGTTCAATGGCAAAACTGCAGTTTCTTTGCAACAAGGTTTCTAGCCGAGAAGTAGAAACTTAAGCATGAAGGGAGACAGCTCCCCTCCCATCAGCCATTCATCTTTCAAAATCTCAGGCTTTTTAATGGAGGCTCTAAGGACGACATAGTGCAGATTGGAGAGGATGACATTGCTGATTAAATCCATTATTGGAAAACATTTGTTGTGGGGGTTATGTGACTTAAAATGGGAAAACGACTATATTTTCTACTTTTCAAGTCCTTTCTCCAAAGGGCAAGGACCTCTGTAGTTCAATGGCAAAACTGCAGTTTCTCTGCAACAAGGTTTCTAGCCAAGAAGTGGAAGATTTAAGCATGAAGGAGACAGCCCTCCCATCAGCCCATTCATCTTTTAAAATCTCAGGCTTTTTAATGGAGGCTCCAAGGACAACGCAGTGCACATTGGAGAGGATGACATTGCTGATTAAATCCATTATTGGAAAACTTCTGTTGTGGGGTTATGTCACTTAATGGGAAAACGACCCTATTTTCTAAATGACAAGTCTTTCCTCCAAAGGGTTTGCAAATCTTAAGGGAATAGTCAAAGTTCTGATCCTCATATATGGCTTTTTCATTGCTCGGTTCTCTAGTGAATCTGAGGTTGATGCTGTACTTCAACAGATTCACACTTATGAAGGGAAACATACTGTACTAGAACACTTAAATAAGAATGTGAATTGTGAGAAAGAAATCTTGGGGTCTGTCCGAATATGGCTTCATCTTCATGACTACCAATTTACTGCCGGGGTGCCATTGCTATTTCACGATATGCTCTGAGTTTTCAAAACCTATATTCCTTGATGAAGTGTCATCCACGAGAGAGAGAGAGGAACATTCATTAGGATTTTCCCTATGCACCTCTACAACACTGATGTGAACTCTACTATTGATGTTGTTCCTTGTTAGCCGCAAGGTTTCAAGCCAAGTGAAACTTGGTGACTTTGATGAAAACAATTATTAATGTGAGAATTTAATAGTCCAATTGAGTGTGACGCATTTCTGGAAAATATTTATACTCAAATACCCAGTAGTGCAGAAGCTATTAGTTGATTTGGTTGTGATTAAATTCCTAAATGACCTAGATGAAATTATTAGGTCAACTTGCCCAATTTTTGTGATTGAGTTATCAAACAGTTTCTGGGTATAAATCCTCATAAACAAAAGCAGCAACAAAATATGTAGAGAACCACCTCTCTAACACACAAACTTCAACTATAAAGATTACCGTCTTCTGATATGCATAAAAAAGTGACCGCACAGTCATCACACAAACCCTAGAAGGCAACAAAGTAGACTATACCAGAATCGCGAACGACGAAGAAAAAACTGTTGTTGCAGAACCTCGCGAACACAAAAAAAAACACCAATTGAGATTGCAATAGATAAAAAACAGAACCACGACAACATAAAATGAACACTGATCGAGACTGCAGTTGGATCCGTGGTACGAGTGGATGTGATTAACCCTACTTTCTTTCAAACAAATCCTATCTTAGAATCTCTTCAAAACCCTTTACACCCACCAGGGTTTACACAAATTTGCTCTAGGGTTTCAACTGTACACCTAGAGCTTTACAAACCATGCTTTGATACAATGTTGACTTTAAGATATAATTAAATTAGGAGTAAGTGATAAAGAAGAAGAGAGAAAAAAGCGGATGAGAGAAAAAAAGAGAGAGAGATGGGGAAAGAGAGAAAGAATGAAAGAATAATTTCATCCTTCCACCAAATTATATTTATAATAACAAGTTTCAGAAATAAAACATAAGCCCAAAAATTATATAAGTAATAACAAATAATCCCCTGACAATAGTAATTGTGATGTAGAATAGCTCGCTCACGATTATCTAAACATACAGGATCATCGCAAATCAAGGAGGCTGAAAAGGTAAGGAGAATATAAGAAAATAAATAAATAAATAAGAAAAAGCCAAAAAGAGATTTGGTGTAGTTGCCAACAATAGAAGATATTATTCTCCATTGCAAGATTTAAGGAGAATTTTGCTCCATCAAATCTCAAATTTTCCCTTTAATATTATTTCGCGCATGCTTTCTTATTTTATTTTATTTTTGACTTGCCTATATAAAGGCAAGACATGTAAGTCTGCAGACATCATTATTATCAATATAATTTTAGTTTCTCTCTTGTGTGTTCTACGTTAGTTGGTATCAGAGCAAGGTTCTGAATCCAAGATTCGCCTTTGTTATGATGGCCGATTCACGAGATGGAAGCAACCCCTCCAGCGACAGTGATCGTGATGGAGTAGCTCTTTTGAGGGCTGAGTTTACTGAGTTCCAGACCAATGTTAATCGAACCTTACTTGATATGCATGAAACTATGCGTCAAGTATTGGTGAGATTGACAACGGTAGAACTTAACTGCGAGAACAAGAAGCAGCCCAACGACAATGATCATGGACGTGGTAATTACAACCCAAACCCACCGATTAGGCAACCAGTCTATGAGGAAAATGTTAGTTTGATTGAAAATATGCATTAAGTATTGGCGAGATTGAAAATAATAATAATACAGATATTTCAACAAAAACCAAAGATGAAATTCATTCCATTTTTAAAATCTTTCATAAGATGATATGTACTCAGTTTGGTTGTCCCCTCAAAATCATTTGATGGAGGAGAGTTTATGTATGGTGGTCTTGCCTCTTTTTTTACTGATAACGGGATTGTCCATCAAACCTCTTGTGCCGATACACCACAACAAAACGGTGTAGCTGAAAGAAAATACTGTCACATTACGGAGGTGGCCCGTTCTCTTCTAATTGGGATGGGAGTGCCTAAAAGTAATTGGGATGATCCAACCTTAACACCTACATAACTTATCAATCACATGCCTTCTAAGGTTCTTAGCTATCAACCCCCCTTCTCTGTCTTACATAATCACACTGCCTTGTTTACTTTTCCTTCGAAAGTGTTTGGTTGTGTTTTTTTATGTTCACATTCATCATCGCAAGGACAAATGGACCCTAAGGCAATCCGACGTGTCTTTCTTGGATATTCCGCCACTCAGAAAGGGTATCGGTGTTATAACCCTACCACTCGCCATCCGTTTGTCTCCATGGATGTTACATTCTTTGAGTTTGTTCCTTTTTTTTACACTACTCGGGATTCTCTACAGGGGGAGAGTACTATACCGGTAGAGAATCCTGTTGTCAGGGGCTTATTTGTTATTACTTATATAATGTTGGGGCTTATGTATAATTTCTGAAACTTATTATTATAAATAGAATGTGGCGGAAGGATGAAAGTATTCTTTCATTCTTTCTCTCTTTCCCCCATCTCTCTTTCTCTTATCCGCTTTCTTCTCTTTTTCTTCTTTATTACTTACTCTTGATTTGATTACATCTTAAAGTCAACATGGTATCAGAGCATGGTTTGTAAAGCTCTAGGTGTGTAGTTGAAACCCTAGAGCAAGTTTGTGTAAACCTATGAAGCACCGACACGTTGCCAATGTACAAGTGTCGGACACGTGTTCGACACGGATAGACATGTCGGAGCTCTGGACACGTGTCCGACACCTTGAAATCGGTGTCTTAATTTTTTATTATTTAATATAGAACGGACACGGGGGAGGACACGCAAAGGACACCGTGTTTGTCACTATAGAAATTTTCTTTTGAAAAAAAATGAAAAGAAAAACAGAGAAGAAGAAGATGACATATATATATATATAGTATACACAAAGAAAAAAAACAACTGAATTTACAGATCATGTTCTTATATGCCACTTGATCTGAAATTTTCGGTAGATGACTTTTTAAAATCGCTTGATGCAGAGACGTATAAGGTCATTGGGATGGCCACCAGTGAGAGGATCGGAAAGAAAAAAAAAAAAGGAGAAGATGAGAAGAGTGGTGTTGTGGGAAAAGAACGGCTGAAGAGAGATAAAAAGAGTAAAGGAAAGAGTGGATAAGAATAAAAGTTAAGCCTTATCTACTTTTATCCCTTGTTTAGTTACAGATAAAACTTAGCCTTTTGAATATACAGATATTTATTTCTTTGTTTATATATTAATAGAATTTAGGCCTTACACTCAAAATATTTAGTGGGCCAAATTTAAAAGGGTTAAGAATGGAGGAGAAATTGAGAAAACACAATTATTAGTATTAATTTTTTATATATATAATAATTATTTATTTTATTTTATTGTCGTATCCTTGCCGTGTCCGTGTCCGTGTCCTATTTTTTTTAAATTTGACGTATCGCCGTATCCATGTCGTATCGTACCCGTATCCCGTGTCCGTGTCCGTGCTTCTCAGGTGTAAACCCTAGAGGGTGTGAAGGGTTTTGAAGAGATTCCAAGATGGGATTTGTTTGCAAGGAAATTTTTTGGAACCTGTTTTTTATCTATTGCAGTCTCGATCATTTTTTTTTTTTGGGTTGGCGAGGTTCAGCAACATCGGCTTTTTCTTCATCGTTCGGGATTCTGGTATGGTCAACTTTGTTGCTTTCTAGGGTTTGTGTGGTGACTGTGTGGTCGCTTTTTTATGCATCTTAGAAGACGGTAATCGAAGTTTGTGTGTTAGAGAGGTGGTTCTCTACATATTGTGGTGTTGTTTTTGTTTCTGAGGATTGTATAGCCAGAAATTGTTTGATAAAATGTCTGGCTTAAAGATGACTTCAAAAGAAGCTGGGTCTTCTCCTAGTTTGACTGCAGTATTGGGAGGTAGAAGTGATCACCATCCAGGCCTTTGTATTACGACTGTTAGGCTGGATGAGACGAACTATACGGAGTGGGCTCAATCTGTTCGTATGCATATCACTAGTCGTAGAATGATCGACCAT